GATTGCGTCCTCTCGGGCTCTCTCGACGGCTTCAACCTTCGCGGCCTCGGCTTCCTTGACAGCTTTCTCCAAGGCCTCAGCTGCGGACCTCTCGGCTTCTGCCCTACCCCGATCTGCGGCCTCCGCCCGCAGGGTCATTTGCCGAAGGCTCTCCTCCAGCATAGCCATCTGCCGAACAGCGTCTGCATTCTGGCGGATGAGCTCCCGCATCTTGGCCTCCTGCTCGGCCTTGCGAAGGCGCCACTCCTCTAGCCGCCGGGCTTGCTCCCCGAGGGCAATGCAGGTCTACAAAAACAAAGGGGTTAGCAAGGCCAAACATGGTTTCTTAGCTCGAAGTAAAAAAGAAAGAAATAGACATAAAAGACTTACTGTGAGGGAAGACCGGAGGATCCTGTCCTCGAGGGCTTCGTCTTCATCAGCCCCGAGGGCTACCCTGTCAATCTCGAGGGTAATGCCTCTCAGAAGCGCCCTCGGGTCGGCCATACCGTTCATCACGGCCGTACCAGCCGGGAGGGAAACCATGAGGACCTCGGAAGATGGCCCCTGAACTCCCGGCGGCACTTTCGCCACCTGCATGTCCTCATCTGCCCCGGAGGCAGGGCCTTCATCAACAATGATCACCGGGGGGATTTCTTCCCGGCATCCCCGGTCTTGGGCTTCTTGCCCTCGGGATCTCTGCCCGAGCCCTTCCTTTTGGCGGCAGCATCAGCATCAGTACTTGGGCCCACCGACGGCCCCTCCGGTTTTTTGAAGAAGTCACCGGCGGGTTTTGGGACACCGGCGTCCGTCCCCCTCGGGCCCTTGGAGGGTTTCTTCTTCTTCAAGTCTGCAAGGCCTCTGACATTCATCATTTTCACTGGGACACCTGCAAAAAACAAAGGAATGGGGTTAAAATCGAGGGGTCGATGACCGAAGGCACAAAGAACAAAAAGAAAAAAAACACGAACAGGATAAGCTATGTGCTGAGATATGAAAACCGAGGGACCTCGTAGACTACCTCCTGTTCCCCCGAAGGCCTCAGCAAAAATGGGGTACTTCTCGTCCGCTTCCCCGATAAATCGGTATCTCCGAAAGCTGAGGGCGTAGAATCCCTTGTCGGCAGTATAGTCTTTGATGGAGACCTGCTTTGTGCGACCCTCCGGGATTTTTGCTATCACCAGGCCGTCTTTTTCGAGGGCGGCGCTTCCAACCTTCGGATGCCGACGGAAGCGATCCCGAAGTTCCGCCGGAAATGGGTTCTCAGCAACCCTGACATAGCACCAGCGCTCCTTCCAGCCCTTGTTTGACGAAGGCGCCTCCGTGAACAGCTTCCACCTGGCCACCTGCTGCAGGTTGGCGAAGCCCTCGGCATTCGCGTGACCCCCTCGACAGAGGTTGAAGCTCTGGAAGAACAAGTCCAGGCTGGGGGTCACCCCTCGGTCCCTACAGAGGTTTAAAAAACCCGCCACATAGGAGTGGCTATTAGGTGTCAGCTGGCAGGGCACCAAGCCAACGAACCTCAGGTACTCCCGGAGGAAGGGGTGCAGAGGGAACCGAAGGCCCATGGAGACCGACAGTACGTGTACTGCAATGCACCCTTCAGGCGCCCGAGAGAGCACATCGTCAAGTCCCGGCTCGACCACCTCGGCCGAGGGCCCTACATGTAGCTGCGTCACGTAGAGGTCTGCCCTGTCCGCCTTCGACTTTATCTCCAAGGCAGCCGTGTTGAGCCAGGAATACCCCTCCGGCATATCTACGGGTTTCCCTTGATCAGCAGCTATGACCTTCTTCTTGGGGACAGCCGCCTTGGCCTTCTTCTTCCCGGGGGCCACCCGGATGGGAACCGCGTTCAGCGGCTGGGAAGTACTGGCCTCACCAGCACCCCGAGGGGTAAGGACGGCCACAGTGACCTTCGCCCTCTCTTTTTCCTCCTCCTCTTCAGCGACTTGGACGGCGAGGGCCAACTCTTCATCCTCGGCAGTTCGCTCGAATTCCTCCACCTCGGCCATCAGATCCTTCTGCACCTCAGTGGCGAGGGCTGCATCACCACCATCCGAGGGTTGACCACTGCTTGACTCCACGTCGGAGATGCCTTCGTCCTCCATCGAGGGCGTCCTCGAGATATCTTGAGAATCACTCTGGGACGACATTCGCACTCTAGTTCGAGGGCTCGTAGACGGTAGTGTTTCCTAACTTTTCTATCTCCTAACCTAAGGGCACAGTACAGCTATGCTAGAAGGAGAAAGGCAGGGAGCACTGACCTCGAAAGCTGAGTTAGGACCGAAGGCTGGAGTTTCTCTCACTAGATTTTTTGGCAGAGCTTCGCTAAGACAACTGAGTTCGCACAGGGGAAATGGCCCTGGCCTTGGGGTATTTATAGGCGCTGGAATCCGGGCTTGGGCCCGGAAACCGGGCCTCCGGGCGGACCGTCATCATTACCCACCGTCGTTTCACCCAACCGGTGACGCCGCCCACGAACAGCCAGCCATCACACGCCACGTGTGCCACCCCCCCAACGGCTATATCCTGTCGTTACATATTCCGACGGCTATATTTCCAACGGCTATATTCTGGAAGCCCCCGGGTTTTCTACTTCACTCCACTTCATCAAGGATAGCCTCCGGGTACACTCACTCAGAAGTGCCCCCAGGTTGCGCCCACACAGCACATAACAGTCGCCTTCGGGATCACTCCTTCAGATCCCTAGGGCTGCATATCAGGGCACCCCTCGGGGTTCCCCCTCAGCACTGCAAAACCGGGTAGCCCCCGGGGAGTGCCTCATTGACGGATGGCCCATGGCCCTCGGGTATCTTCATCACCAACTCATCAACAAACAGTGGACCCCCGGTAACAACTTCACTGCTGCCCTCATCTGGCAGGCCCTCGATCCCTGGATTGAGGGGCTCCCCTTCGGCGCCACCAGGACATCAACAGCAAGCCTCCGGCTAATCAACACAGGAGCCCTCAGAGGAGAGAGCCTTCGGCATTCCCGTCATTTTCCACTTTGTACCAAGGTTTGACATTTTTGATTCATCATTGGGGGAATTCGGTGCACTCTTTTTCCCTCATTAGGATTTTTTCCCAAAGGGTTTTTCCTAATGAGGTTTTTAACGAGGCATCCCCCCAAAATGAAACGAAAAACGTCAGCTTTCGGCCCACAACAGCAACGTGACTACTTTACTCCTTTTCACCACTTTACAAGTGCCTCAAGGAGTGGGGGACCGGAGGACCCCCTCGGGAAAATCATTAAATTACAAAATTTGGTGAAATTCCAACAAACAACAAAGCAAGCCCTCAAGTCCCGACATGTGGGTAACTGAGGGACTGCCTTCGGCAGGGACATAAAAGCAACAACTCCTCACCAACTTCAGAGATCACGACGGGACAACATCAAAGGGCAAGCACAAATTACTCCTTTTCCCTCAAGTACCTTTCGGCAAAAGGAGTGAGGGACTCCTGATGGAGTATATGGCCCGGGAACCCCCGGCCCAAAGACTCCTACTACTCCATCAAAGGCCCAACAGGCCCAACAGGCCCAAATCACAGCGCCCAGAGTACCAAGCAGTCCGCACAACGCGCCAGGGGTGCCTTCGGCCCCCTGGCCGAAGGCTCCAAATTCTCACAGAACGGGTTTCTCAAGCAAACTAAGAAACTGGGAGAAAACGGCGAAAACAGCAGCCCTCGGCACTGTGAGCCCTCGGCACCAGGGGTGCCATCGGGTGGAAGAGCCCTCGGCTACTGCTCTATAGCCGAAGGCGTCTCACTCGACAAGATATCCGCCTCACATGCGTACAGATCACCGTACCCCGCACAGACGTCCCATCCAACAGCCGCATTAAATGCGGCCACATGCGGCTGCCAGCGCCAACCAGTTGAGGTGACCCTTCGGCCAATGAGCGCTTGACACGTGTCCCTGCCCGGCATTTATTGCTACTATAAATAGCACCCCTTTTCCCCATTTGTAACCAAGTCATAACACGCTGAAAACGGCATTCATACTGAATACACTCTCTCTCTACTTTTATTTACTTGCTCTGACTTCTCTCTAAGTTACTTCCCGCAATAACCCTTCGGATATATACCCCCGGGTAGACTATCCATCAGTTCCATAGACTAATTTTCTTTCTTTTTAATGGAATTTAAAGTGCGTTTAAGATACATGGCTCTAGGTAAACTAGCTGACATAAAACGGTGATGGAGTATATGGCCCAGGAACCCCCGGCCCATAGACTCCTACTATTCTAATGGAGGCCCGATGGGCCCGGGAAGCACAGCATGTCCAAAATCACGGCGCCCCAAGTACTAAGCAACCCACGTGGCACACTAGGGGTGCCTTCGGCCCCCTGGCCGAGGGCTCCAATTCTCACAGGATGGCCAAATCAAGAAAACAAAGTTACTGGGAGAAAACGGCGAAAATCAGTAGCCCTCGGCACCTAGAGCCCTCGGCACTAAGGAGGTACCCGGTACTCAGAGCCCTCGGCTAAACACCTGCAGCCGAGGACACCTTTCCCGACATAATATCCGCTCCACATACGCATGGATCACCGTACCAAGTACGACGTCCCATCCAACAGCCGCATTAAATGCGGCCACATGCATTGCCAGCGCCAACCAGTTGAGGTGACCCCTCGGTCAATGGATGCTTGACACGTGTCCCTATCTGGCATTTCTTACTACTATAAATAGCACCCCATTTCCCCATTTGTAACCCAGAAGCAAAATACGCTGATCACACATCTAATATATTCTCTCTCTTACTTACTTGCTCTGACTTCTCTCTAGTTATTCTCTGCAATAACCCATCGGATAAGCTACCCCCCGGGTACACTATCCATCAAACGGGTTTGTAAACGAGTCCATATAGCCGCTGAATGTTTAATATCATGCACATCAGTTAATACTTCCCGGGATAGGGTAGCAAACAACCAAGAACGAATAGTTTGATCTACCCTAAGCCAATGATAGTAATCAGTAATAACAATTTGATGATTATTAAAATTCAGCGTATACATAGATGGTACCTGGATGGAACCATCAACCACTCCAAAGAGACCCTGAGAAACCAGAAAAGATTCAAATTGTGTGCGCCAGGTAAGGTAGTCTTCAACGGCTTTGGGCTTGATAGTAACAATCTGACTAACATTGGCTCCATGAGAAACTGACTACGCCAACAAGGCCATAGGAGAACCGCACAAGATGGGGTCATGTGCTAGCCATGTGATTCCAGGAGATCCAGCAAAAGAAGAGCCATAAAACGAAGGAGAGTATGGCGGGATGGGCTGTGAGTTGACTGGAGGCAGCGCCGTCGACCAAGGTAATTGCGCCGGAAGATTGTGAAGGAGTTGATATGGCGGAGGCGGCGTCCAAATCGAAGAGGAGAAGTCTGGTGCCGGTATGGAGTATGGGTGCTGCGGCTGCGGCGTCGGAGAGGAGACGACGCCAGAAAATTGGGGAATTGACACCACCGAAGAGGAGACTGCCGAAGGGGGAACTGTAGAGGCAGAGACAGTGGTGCTGTGTGCCTGGTGCAGGGATTCCGTCGTGGAGGAAGTCACCGCTGTGACAGTAGACATGGTGGCGTCGGTGGTGGCCATTGTTGGCTGCTGCGGAAAAGAGGGAAAGAGAGCAGCCGAAGAAAAATTTTAGCCCTAGGGCTCTGATACCATGTGAGAATTTGGGAAAAGGTGCTCCAATAGGAGTCCTAGTCTGAATATATATAATAAAAGAGTTTTACACAGATTAGGAAACAAATATGCCTAATAATATTCTATTAGCATGCTCTTTCTTTCATTTTTTTAATTACATCAATAGGTTTATTACAGCAGTTCATAATAATTAATTATTACTTCCTATTTTGTTACTCCATAAAATATTAGGAAACTCGTTACTCGCGCAGTCACGCGTATAGCATTAGGACAAAATACTGCGTAGTTGATACGGGTTAGGACTTGGGGCTCACGTTATTACTCCGTATATATATATATATATATATGTGTGTGTGTGTGTGTGTGCGCACTGTACATAACTCTTCACTTGCTTGATTCATTAGGCTGGACTTGATTGGTTTTATAAACCATAAACCTCGATCTGCACAATTAGATTAGCTAGATTATACAGTAGTTAGTATGGATTATATATGCAATGAGGCGGAACTGGAAGAAAGCTTCCACTGCCACGAACATGTCTTCCGTAGAGTCACTTTTGAGGTTCGGAATCCCGACGCAGCCAACCTCCGTCCCTCACCAGCCACCGTCACCACAATCGATTTCACCTACCGCACGAATCACCGTTTCACCGCCTTTGTAGAGGGAGCCAAAGATTCAGCCATCGACGTACTTCCTCGAGAAGTTTTAGAAACTTTTTCCAGCGTTGAATTCGCCGACATCGTCAACTGCAAGTTGGGCGAAATTCGCGCCGCCATACGCCGCAGGCTGTGCAGCTTCAGCGTGTTGCATGTTAAACTTGTTAGTTATTACAGTTACTACTTATTATTATTATTTGTTTCTTCTATGTATTTAGTCTTATGTACGTGAAGTAAGTTAGGATGAACGTGTGCATGAGCGTGGAGGTTTTTTTATCCACTTGGCATAACCAACCCACGTATACCACATTTAAGTAGCGCAATGGGAAGGTTAAGGCTGAGACGGTTTTTCCTCTATTATTCTTGTATCTCTTCATCACACACCTTATTGATAATGAAAGATTGTTAAATCTGATTGCATGTTTATGTATGAATGATAGCTTTATGTATAGTAGTTCTACACTTGGTATCAGAGCTCACAGTTAATAACATCCTGCAAGCATGAACTCACCCACATCTTCATCAACAAGTGAAGGAATTGGAGATGCACACGAAGACGAAACTGTGAAGTATCAAAGTAAGGAGGGTACTGTCACGCTAAAATATCACATGCTAAATCGAAACAACTACGCAGCATGGGCTATCAAAATGGAAGTTTTTATGATAACCCAAGGGGTATGGGATGCTGTGGAGTCAGTTGAACCAGATGACCGAAGAAAAGACAAGTTGGCATTGGCTGCAATTTATCAAGGGATAGGAGAAGATACAATACTTCAATTGGGAGCAAAAAGGACTGCAAAGGAAGTTTGGAACATGTTGAGTACCATGCACCTAGGTGCAGAAAGGATGAAAGAAGTACGTACTCAAACGTTGTTGCGAGAATTTGAGGGAATGAGGATGGTTGATACAGAAAGTGTGGATGATTTTACTGGCAAAGTACAGACCATTGTGAGCAAGTTAAGAGGTTTGGGGAATGTGATTGAGGAAGAACATGTGGTAAAGAAATTACTACGAGGAGCTTCACCTAAATTCCTGCAGATTGCATCAACCATAGAAGAATTTTGTGATTTGAAGATCAAGACATCTGAAGAGATAATTGGATCCTTCAAAGCACATGAAGAGATACTACTGGGACAAAACAGTTCAAATGAAGAGACTGTACTCCTTACGAGGGCTGAGTGGAAAGCCAGAGAAGAAGCCAGACCTCAATCTCAAGGAAATGTTGGAAGAAATCAAACCAATGTTAGAGGAAGGGGGAGAGGTCGTGGCAGAGGAAGAGGCCAAGGAAGATCTAGAAATGAAGAAGATCAACCTCAGCAAAAGAGAAAATTTGATAAGTCTAAGATTAAATGTTACAATTGTAACAAGATGGGGCACTTTGCATCTGAGTGTACCCAAGAGGATAAAGAAGAAGAAACAAATCTCGTTGAAGAAGAAGAAGAGGCAGAAGCACCCTCACTAATGATGATTGAAACCTGTGAATTAACAAAATCACATGACTCAATACATCACATCACACAGGAAAGCAGAGAAAACAAGGAGGACTTGGTGGCATGGTGGTATCTAGACACAGGAGCTAGCAATCATATGTCAGGAATCAAAGCTCATTTCACAAAACTAGATACTTCTATTCAAGGGAAAGTCAGATTTGGTGATAATTCTATGGTTGATATCAAAGGATTAGGAACAATTGTATTTCAATGTAGATCGGGGGAACATATGTCTCTACCCAATGTGTACTATATACCTAAACTCAAAAGCAACATCATAAATCTTGGACAATTGGATGAATTGGGGGCACAGGTTATACTTAAAGAGGGAATCTTGAAAGTGTTCAGCAAGGATAACAAACTCATTTTCAAAGTAGACAGAAGGGAAAACAAGTTGTTTATGGTCTGCCTCAAAGCTGTTCAGAAGGCATGCTTGTTAAGCAAGGTGACAAATGTTGACTTGCTATGGCATGCCAGATTTGGACACTTGAGTTTTCAAGCTTTGAATAAGATGTCAAGTACTGCAATGGTGGAAGGAATGCCTAAAATTTCTCAAGTGAATCAAATATGTGAAGGATGCATGATAGGCAAGCAACACAGAACTTCATTCCCTCAGGAGACAACCTATAGAGCACAAGAAAGACTGGAGCTGGTGCATGGTGACTTGTGTGGCCCAATAAAACCACCTACTTCAGGAGGTAAGAATTACTTCATGCTCTTAGTAGATGACTATTCTCGTTTTATGTGGATAGCATTGCTAAAGCAGAAAGGAGATGCACTTGATCACTTCAAGAAACTCAAACACAAGATGGGGAATGGAGGAGATTTGAAACTGAAGTGCCTCAGGACAGACATAGGAGGAGAGTTCACATCACATGAATTCCAAGCATTCTGTGAAAAAGAAGGGATAAATAGACACCTAACAGCACCCTACTCACCTCAGCAAAATGGAGTAGTGGAAAGGAGGAATCAAACCATCATGGAGATGGTGAGAAGTATGATGAAAAGCATGACTGTGCCTGGAAATTATTGGGGAGAGGCAGCCAATACAGCAGTATACATTCTAAATAGGTCTGTGACAAGGAGTGTAAATGGGAGAACACCTTATCAAGCTTGGTTTAACAAGGCTCCAAATGTAAATCACCTCAGGGTGTTTGGGTGTATAGCTCATATTAAGGTAGTGAAACCTCACTTGCAGAAATTGGAAGATAGAAGCATCAAGGGTGTGTTGCTGGGATATGAAGAGGGGTCCAAGGCATACAGGTTGGTGGATCCAATACAAAGAAATGTTGTGATCAGTAGGGATGTGAAGTTTGAGGAGGATAAGAGATGGCCTTGGGATTCTACAATGGTGGAAGAATTGGAGGCAGAACAAGGCATTTTTGCAGCCAGCATAAACAACACCAAATGTAAGGAAGGGAGAGAAAGGAATGCCAAGGATCAAACAGAAGAAGAAGGGTTCAATGACTATCATGGAAGTCATGATATGTTTTTGAATACACCTGAATCACACACTAACTCTAGCTCCAGTGAAGAACCTATGCACTATAGATCATTGCAAGAAATATATGATGCCACTAAGGAAATTACAGAGGAGGTCAGCCTATGTTTTCTCTCCATAGAAGAACCAGAGAATTATTACGAAGCTGCAACAAAGAAAGAATGGAGACAAGCTATGGCTTTGGAGCTGGACTCAATACAAAAGAATGGAACCTGGGAGTTAGCAGATCTTCCAAATAATCACAAAGCTATAGGGCTGAAATGGATATTTAAGGTAAAAAGGGATCCAGAAGGCAACATTACAAAGCACAAAGCAAGACTCGTTGCAAAAGGGTACATACAGAAATATGGCATAGATTACCTAGAAGTGTTTGCCCCAGTAGCAAGGATGGAAACAGTCAGAACATTATTGGCACTTTCAGCTAAAAAGGGATGGCTAGTGCATCACATGGATGTTAAGACTACTTTTTTAAATGGTGATTTGAAAGAAGAGGTGTATGTAGAGCAGCCAGAAGGGTTTGTGAATGAAAGATATCCTAACAAAGTGCTGAAGTTACATAAAGCCTTGTATGGGTTGAAACAGGCTCCTAGAGCCTGGAATGAGAAACTAGATGGATGCCTAAAGTCAATGGGGTTCAAGAGATGTATATATGAGCATGCTCTGTATTCAAAAGGCACAGGTACGAGTATAACCATTGTTGGTGTATATGTTGATGATCTGTTTCTCACAGGTTCAAATTCTAAACTCATACAAGACTTCAAACTAAAAATGATGGAGATCTTTGAAATGAGTGACATGGGTCTACTCAGTTACTATCTGGGACTGGAGGTTAGACAACAAGAAGGGACTACATATTTGAACCAGACAAGTTATGCAAAGAGGATCTTGGAACTGATGGGAATGGGGGAATGCAATCCTTGCAGTATACCTATGGAACCAAGGAGTAAATTGAGCAAATATGATGAAGGTGTGCTAGTAGATGCCACTCTGTACAGAAGCATAGTGGGGAGTCTGAGGTACTTAGTTAATACACGTCCTGACCTTACCTATTCAGTAGGAATTGTGAGTAGATACATGGAAACTCCAACTCATACTCACATGAATGCAGTGAAACAAATTCTAAGATACATAAAAGGGACTATAATATGGGCTGTGTTTTCAGAAGGGGGAAGAAGATAACATGCTTGTGGGATATTGTGATAGTGTTTTGGCAGGTGATGTAGATGATAGAAAGAGCACCACGGGAATTATCTTCTTCCTTGGGAAGAGACCTGTAACCTGGGTGTCACAGAAGCAAAAGGTGGTGGCACTTTCTTCATGCGAGGCTGAATACATTGCAGCTACAGGAGGGGCTTGCCAAGGAATTTGGCTCATGAAGCTACTAGACAGTTTGAAGGGGGAAATCAGAAGGAAACCAGTACTGAGGGTTGACAACAAATCAGCAATAGCTCTGGCTAATAATCATGTGCATCATGAACGTAGTAAACATATAGATACACGTTTTCACTTCATTCGGGAATGCATTGAAAAGGGAGATATTGATCTTGAACATGTTAGAACGGTGGATCAGCTAGCAGACATCTTGACCAAGCCACTTGGCAGACAAAGATTCTCAGAGCTTAGGACAAAAATAGGAGTGCAGCGTGTGAACAAGGGGGACAAGTTTAAGGGGGAGAATGTTGCATGTTAAACTTGTTAGTTATTACAGTTACTACTTATTATTATTATTTGTTTCTTCTATGTATTTAGTCTTATGTACGTGAAGTAAGTTAGGATGAACGTGTGCATGAGCGTGGAGGTTTTTTTATCCACTTGGCATAACCAACCCACATATACCGCATTTAAGTAGGGCAATGGGAAGGTTAAGGCTGAGACGGTTTTTCCTCTATTATTCTTGTATCTCTTCATCACACACCTTATTGATAATGAAAGATTGTTAAATCTTATTGCATGTTTATGTATGAATGATAGCTTTATGTATAGTAGTTCTACACGGCGGGGGAATTTTTGATAAGTGGGAAGGATTTGAAGGCATGGTCTTCGGAATAACGGCGGCAGTCCGCGACCTTGGCGCGTGCGACGTGACGTTGTTCCACATTCGGAGGGAGAGAGTGTTGCTCCCGGAGCTGAAGTCGTTGACTGTGGACTTTGTCACGCTACCGGACAGAGACGGCGGCGGAGAGGAGACTTGCGCGGTGTGTTTGGAAGGTCTGAAATTAGAAGCACGGAAAGTTTTGAAGACGCCTTGCTCACATATGTTTCACGCCACATGCATCCTAAAGTGGCTGCACAAAAGCCATAAATGCCCTCTTTGCCGCTTCGAGATGCAAAGCAGCCATTATCTCGTGAAGATATTCTTTCTTTTGGCTGAAAATCTGGTGAAGATATTGAGACGGGGTGCGGCGGCGGCGTTGACTGACACGGCGTCGAAGAAGGACGAGACCGCCGAGTCTTGTGTTGATGGGCTAGCGGAGAAGGACTGCAGGGTCGGACCCGAGCCTGAAAGGACGCTGAAAGAGAATAAAAAACGCGAGTTTTATGTTGGGTTTTCCATCATGAGTTCTTCACCGCCGCCCAGTTCTCTTCCTTTGCCTTCCTTTTTACGGAAAAAAACATCATAGGATATTGAAATTAACGATAATGCTACTTCTAGTTTACGGCAGCGTCTTACCACATGTGTAGATTTGACATAGTTCATGGTAAGATCAAGTTATATTTTCCATTCTTTACAAATTTGTATCCGTTGTTGTAATGGCCGGCGGGTTATAAATTTGTATTTACAGTCAATTTCCATTTCAAATTTGTATCCCATCTCTTTTAGTTGTATAGAGAATTCCCAATATGGGAGTTAAACATAGAAAATATGCAAAAATAGAAGTCCTATGAGTTACTCATGTTTCATACGGAAGTTTTAATAGAAACTGACCAAAGTACCCTTAATAATGAAATCCTGGTTTGTTTAATCTATTTATCAACTCACACATACATATAAAACAAATTACACACGTGTAGTCTATTCTCAACATATCACCGCACCAGATGTGGTGCTGGAATATCACCTCTTATTCAGCCACCACCGTCGGACGCCACCACCGTTGGACGCCGGACGCCACCGCCGCCGGACGCAAGAACCCACCTCCGACGTCGCCTAAACCGCCGCCGCTGCAAAGTAAGTCTTCATCTGCTGCTGCCCTCTATCTTCCATCGCCGCCACACATCCTCTCGGATTGCTGCCATATGTTCCGCCGCCACCACCGATTCTACTAGTGTGCCTGCTTCCATGTCTCTCTAGTTAGATGCAGATCTCCTACCAAATACATTATTACCATCTTCATAAAAATAATGAAATATTATTTAATGTCATTTTAAAATCATAATGTCATTTTGTAAAAAATACATGAATTAACATTTGTAAAACATGACATTATTTGCTTAACATATCCGTGTAATTGCCATCTTTATGAAATTAATGTCAACTTCATAAATGTAAAATGACATTATTTGCCAAACATATTGAAAAACAATTCATAAATGTAAAATGACAATATTTGCCAAACGTATTGAAAAACACGACATTTTTAAAACAATTTTGCCAGTTTTGAAATGGCAAAAAAAACATAGAAAGATAAAATAAAGAGTCAAAGGAATAAAAGGTGAGAAAAATTGAAAGACCAAATACAGGAAAAGGGAGATTGAAGCTTGAGAAATTCAGATCTCGAAAGGGAAAAGAACATTCACTTAAAAATCAAATCAAAATTTGGTTGTAATGAAAGCAAGAAGGTTTACGCTCCAAAAGGTGCAGCTGCGCAAAGGAGAAAAAATAATAATGGAGAAGAAGGGAAAGAAGAAGAAGAGGATGAGGAGGAGGATGAGGAGGAAATCAAACTTACCTGTGTTTGCCCCGTTGTACGCTGATAGCCGGAGTTCGACGGAAAAATTCATTGCCCAAACCTTTGTAATCCACCGACAATCCGATAGAGATGAAGTCTCGAGATGGTTAAATGGATGAGTGAGTGCGAGAGGAGAAATAGAAGGAGATGGGAGAAGGCAGGGGAAAGAAAAGAGAGAAAAAGGTGTGATGGAGACGAAAGATGCTTGACAAAAGGAAAAATAATTGATAAATATAATTAATTTAGGCTACTTGGAAAGAGGGGTATAATTGGAAAAAGGAACGGACCAGTCAACAATAATCTCCTATATAGGGAATAAATCATTAAGTGCTCTTATTTTGGAACTTCCTTAATGTTTTAGTCCTATTAAGGACAATTTCTTTTAGTTGTAATATTTTTGACTGCATTATTCATACGGAGTATTTTATTTTGATTTTCAAAATTTGACTTTTTAATTTTTATTAATAGGGAATGGAAAATGTTAATGGTTAAATTTGTGTATATACCTAGTTGAATGTCCATTTTATGACTTGGGCCAAATAATCATAAGCCATCAATGTAAAATTGATCGAGTTTTCTACGAAAATAGTTATAGCAGTTCCGTTGTAGGATCCTCCCTATTCTTTATTACTAATATTCCAAAACTATCATACTAGGCAGAATGGCCATGTTGTTAATGTTGGGCACTAACGGAAATGTAGTGAAATTTTAGGATTAACACAACAAATATTTGATCACTCAATTTAGAAATATGCATTGACAGAAAAATGTCTTATACTTTTGGCTATTGTTTATTCTCTCAAATAAGAAAACACACAACACATGCACATTCTTATTTTCCTTGTGTGTATGCCATTTCTTGCTGCACACTTAGCATCTTGGGTACACATAACACACACATATGACGAACACTTTGTCGTGATGTGCGTCAAAATAATAAATACAATACAACGATTATATGTAGTATGTATAACGAAGTAAGGTTCGTATCCATAGGGAAATGAATACTTCTCTTTTATATAAATAGTACAAGGGGTTTTTTATGATTGTGATGAACTTAAGAGTATTTTAAACACTAAGATGAATGACTTATGTGTTTTACTTAATTGAGATGGAGACTTGGCTTTGCTTTTATCCACTTAATGAAATGTTCGTCGATCCTGGTTATATCTTTAACTATCTTCCTCTCGAATACTCAATGAAGGAGTATACCCAATTCATCGAGGGTAGTTATTAATACCGAGACGCGTTCATTAATAAAACTTATTATCGAGTCAATATAGAACACACGCCGTATATTAACCCGATAGTAGCAATACACTTAAGATGAAAACGATTGAGATTGATAACCTCAATACAAACGGTTTATTGGTTTAATCAAAAGAGAATCATTCAAAGCCGTTCGATAGACTCGAGCGGGGAGATCAATGACGTTCGACATGAAGCGCAGAGACGTTCATGACTAGCAACGAAAAGAGGATCATGAAAATTCGTTCGATAGACTCGAGCGGGGAGGTCAATGACGTTTAACATGAAGCGCAGAGACATTCATGGATGGGGCGGTCATGGCCGCTAGAGAAGACCATCACGGCCGAGGGCCGTGAGACGAGCATCTTCCACCAAGAGGCCGAGGGCCTCAAGGAAACCATCACGATCGAGGGCTGTGAGACGGGCATCTTCCACCAGGGGGCTGAGGGCCTCAAGGAGACCACCACGGTCGAGGGTCGTGAGACGGACATCTTCCACTAGGAGGTCGAGGGCCTCAAGGAGACCATCACGGCCGAGGGTCGTGAGAAGAGCATCTTCCACCAGGAGGCCGGGGGCCGTGAGATGAGCATCTTCCACCAGGAGGGCGAGGGCCTCAAGGAGACCATCACGGTCGAGGGCCGTGAGACGGGCATGTTCCACCAAGAGGCTGAGGCCCTCAAGGAGACCATCACGGCCGAGGGGCCGTGAGATAGGAATCTTCCACAAGGAGGCGGAGGGCCTCAAGGAGACCATCATGGCCGAGGGTCATGAGAAGAGCATCATCCACCAGGAGGCCGGGAGCCTCAAGGAGACCATCACGGCCGAGGGTCGTGGGACGAGCATATTTTGAAGACCGGCCTCGTCCCCGCTCCTCGCGAATGAAGGACCGTTGCTCGAGTTCCCAGATCAGTATCCTTAGTACCAGCATCTTTACAGCATGACTACATTTTATGGACCGCCGCTCTAGTTGCCGCCGCTGTCCTCACGTCATGATCGGCCTCTCACACGACATGTTGATCACCCTGAAGGCATCTTCACGCTCCATGAAGGAAGACCTATATGGTGCAGTTCTGGTGAGAAAGGAGTTTTAGGAGGAAAATAAGAATGAAATCTAGCCTTTGATTTAACAAATTGGATGGCTGCAAATTAAGAGTGATATTAATGCACTCCAATAATTATGACCGAGTAGTAGAGTTATTAAAGGAAATAATGTCTAATAAATATTATTGAAGGGCACGATAGTAAAAGAAACCTAAATATATATAAAGGTGGGTGTGAGATTCCATTTGGAAAACCCAGAGAGAAAACGAGAGAAAAGGAGATCAGGGCTCCTCGAATGTCACCTCAACCACTAGTATGGATGAACCGTATCAGAAGAACCGAACGGCGCATTCAACTATGGTTTGGAGGCGGCAGTAGGCCATTAGTATGGATGATCCGGAGAAAACCGGATGGATTAGCATCAGAACTATTGGCTAAAATTCTCCTCCCAGTCAGAGGCACATCATACCGTTCTAGTAGGAAGAACGGGGGAATGGAACTGTGAGTTAGGGGTGAGTCGTCGTTTCAGCCAGCCGAGAACGATCCGTTCGATAAGAATACTGAGCGGGGGATACTAACTGGTTTGGAGATGATGTAAAAAGCAAAGGAAGACCCGTAGTGGTCCTGGGCCGACGGGTCCATGTCTGTTAGAGTCGGGTCCGTGGAACATCCCGTCCAAAGGATAAGAGATTCTACGGCCGCGTTCACAAGTGTGTGGCATACACGTTTGGGCTACCCAAATGTCGCGACGGCTAGTGGAGTGTGGCAATCGTCCCCGACCAATTAGTAGGAGTGATCCGTCCAAATCAGACCAGACAGGTAATCTCGGCTGATTCGGGTTGAGTTGGGGAATAAGAGTTCCTTTCTTCTCTTGATCATCTTATGCAGCACGAACGACTCTTCAGAGTCGTAGCGCCTACTCACGACCGGGCTCATCTACTCCTAATCTTGGGTGGCGGTCGTCGTGTTATGCAGCTTGAACGGCTCCTCAGCGCTGTCGTGCCTACTCTCGGTCGGGCTCGTCAATCCTTAATCTAGGATGGCAACCGCCACATTATGCAGCACGAGCGGCTGGCTCTTCAGCGTCGTCGTCTCTTCTTCTCGGTCGGGTCCGCCCATGCAATTCGGGTACGGGACCACCGCTTTTATGCAGCACGAGCGGTTGACTCTTCAGCACCGTCGTGCCTAGTGTGGGGACTGCACATCACGCATCATTCAAGGACACCGATTCAGGGAAGGCAAGGAAAAACGTGAGCAAGAGTATACTTTCTCGAGTAGATTCACAGGCTCACTACTCAAGAAACTGGGGGACTTGTGTTGGGATATATTATCCCGGCCTACTACTATCCAGAGGCCCAAGGCACCACCCCGGTATGAAACAGAGCATTTCATACATATTTATATCTATATCTAATAGTTTATGTTGGACTAAACTCAACAACACTCATAATGAAAAAGCAAAAACCAGAATTTACACATATCTAAATCGCAAGGATGCTTATTGTGCTAGAACAAACATCTAATGTATTTTTACTTTTAAAGGTTAGTATTGTCATATTAATGTCTGGTATTTATATTGAGCAAGTTAGAATATGACAATATTTATGTAAATGTATGTCATACACTTTAATATATCATGGTATTAATATTGGTCTATTAATGTCTTGTACTTATATTGAGTAAGTTATTTCCTACAAAATCATTCTACTAGCTAGTGTCCCTATATTAGCTAAATAGATAGATATACTTGGAGGGAGGGACATACCTATTAAGAAAGTAATGCTATTCTAGTTTGTTTTCAATCTTTATAATTAGTTGCAATAGTTTAAACTTTACATTTTTAACATACTCTATTCGACTGAAGTGAAATTTTACATTATTCAATTCATTAATGTACTGAAGTATTTTATAAGTCTTTTTCCAAAAAATATTACTAAAATGAAACTTATTTATAAAAATAGGAAAAATCGTTAATTTGGTCCTTGTAATATCACGAAAACTTCAATCAAGTCCTCGTATTTTTGAAAAAAATCAACCAAATTCTTGAATTTTTAAAAGCGTTCAATTGAGTCCATTAGCAAGTTACCTACCTTCCACGTCAGCAAGACACATGCAGACGTGGCACACATGTGGCGGCACAGTCACCAGTGACTTTGGTGATGTGGCGCACATGTGGAAGCCCATTAAGCCATTTCCCGATGATATGGCATGCAACATGTTAATTGACTCAATTGAACATTTTTTCAAAGTTCGGGGATTTGATTGATTTTTTAAAGTATGAGGATATTGACGTTTTTGTGATAGTACGAGGACTCAATTGACAGTTTTCCCATAATAATATGACTAAAAGACACTATAGAATAGTGTCATGCATAACAAAAATATGACTACAAGTACTATAGTCATTACACTCGAAATCATATTTTTGTAAACAACTCTTATTTTAATCATAATTATGTAACACTCAAAAGATGGTCACTTGAGTGCAAAAATTAAACATATGTACATTACTATGACTATATTAAAATATATATATATGTTACTATGACCAAAATTACTAATTACTACTATAGTCATTACACTCAAGAGATCACGTTTTTTCTAAACAACTTTTATTCTAATTATAAATATATAACTATTTCATTTTATAATGAAAATATGATTCAATTAATATCAACACAAATTTTTAAAATATAAATATGCGATTTTTGTACTACATATCTTTAGTCCTTATAAAAGTTTAACCAAGAGGAAATAAAATTGGTGCTTGCTATGGTACCCAACAAAAATAAGAGGGTACCATACCTAGGATGCATTTCATTGGTTCAACTCAAAGTTTTACATTTTATTTGCATTTAAATTATTCAATTGAAAATTTTTTATTGGTCCATACCATCAAGTTACCATACCTTCAAGGTACCATAGAAATTGCCAATAAAATTAGTATTAGATGAAAAACAAAATTTAAATAAAGTTAAACTAGAATGTATCATGGAGTATAATTTTAGATACAAGAACATATTTAAGCCTAATATTATCTACAGAGTATAATTTATATCCTAATATATCATACGTTTTTGTTGTACTTTCTAACCTTTTATGATACTTGTTTTAATTAAATATATCAACATTCTCAATTGAGACGAGTTTCGACACTATAACTTTATCTTTGGGAGTGCCATCAACATGGGCGGAGGTAGAGGGGGGTCGACCAGGCCCCGCCGACCCACCCCTAATTTGATTTTTTTTTGTATTTATAGTGTATAAATTTATGTGAAAATTTATTTGAATTTTTTTTTTGTACCGCCTCACCCCAACCTTCGACGTGATTATGCTCTCGGCCATCGAATGATAACTAATATCTTACGTCAATGGTTCTTATCTAAAACATGTTTCACAGACATAGTTTTTGAAGTAAAAAATATTGGAATGTGAGTCCAAAAAACTAAATACATCAAAAAGTTTTTCTAACATAAGAAATAACACATTGATATAACATCTAGAACTGTCACTAACACTTGTACAAATGATCACAAACATTTGCCTTTTGTTTGTTTAATCCATTTAAGAACTCAATTTCATATACGGCTACGTGTCCATTATTTTTTGGGAAAACTGTGAAATATGTCCTCTTAGTATTGCAAAAATGTCAATTAGGTCCTCGTACTTCAAAATCAATCGATTGGACCCCTCAACTATAAATAAAGACTCAATTGAGCTATTTTAGCGGTAAACATCCGATTTTCCGGTTGAATGCTCACATGGACTGCATATCTGTTTTTAATGTTTTCTACTCCCTATGTCCCTGAAAATACTTCCAACTTTCCCTTTTCGTCCGTCCCAAAAAGAACTTCCCTTTCTTTTTTTGGCAAAGAATTTGTGGTTCACAGCATTTCTCTCTCCTCTGCACAACTCTCCACCACACAATTCCCACTTTCTTAATCCGCGTGCCACTTTATTTTGGAAGTAAATTATGGGGCGGAGGCAGTGGAGGAGCTAGGGGGGGGGGGGGCAATTTTTTTTAAGATGAAGTGTTCAAATAAATAAAAAAGTATTTTCAGAAAAAGTAAAAAAAATGAAATATAGAATAAAAGGGGATTAATGAGTCAATGAGACAAATGAGCATCTAGTCTAAGGCTAAGTAAAAAAAAACGGGCATAAGTAGAAAAATGAAAAAAAAAACAATTCTAAAGCCCAAGCCACCTAGACAATCCTAAAGCCTAAGCCCAAAAATTAAAAAAATAACAATTCAAAACGTAATCACTAAAGTCTAAAGCCATTAAGTGGGTTAAACATTCAAAGCTTCATTAACAAAAGACCTAGGCAGTCGGCAGTCCCTTCCCACTCCGCCAAAAAAAATGAATCGAGCAGTTGAGAACGCAGGCAGGCAGCGAACGTGAGAACTGAGAAGCACCATCGCCCGCTCCCTCTCCGGCTTTACTCCCCAACAGAAATCTACCTTCCTTCTCCAGTTAGTTCTCACTTCTCCCCATTTGTTCTCAGATTCTGCAATTTTCAAGTAAGTTTCTCATCTGTCAATTTATGCCCATATTAATTATTTGCTCTCATCCCTAACGAAAAGTCAGAAATTATTTGTGTGAATCCTCAAATCTCAGTTCTAGATGCAATTTAATGCTATTTGTATAAGGAACATTTTTAATTCATACTTATTTTTGTTATATTTAGGAGTATGAGTTTGGATAAATTTGTAATTAAGACTAAGAGGTCTTTGATTGGAGGTGTTAGTTCTTCAATTGTTCCTAATCAGTCTATCTCTAGTGTTGAAAATGCCACTGCGTCAAATGAAAATACTGCTAGAGATGAGAGGAATGAGAGAGACAAGAGAGCCCGAACAGAAAGTACACATGAATGGGATATTATTAGTGGCCCATTTTTACGAAAACCAATTAATGAATATGCGTCGAGGATTAGGGATGATGTGATGAGAGCATATGTTGTTAAAGGTGCTTGTCAACCAGCATCTCATAAGTTTCCACGAACTGAATTTGGTAAGACATTAAGGAGCTTTCGAGGAGAGTGGTTTAAAACTTGGGAATGGTTGGAATATAGTATTTCTAAAGATGCCGCTTTCTGTTTTTGGTGTTACCTTTTTCATGGGCATGAAGGAAAGAGATTTGGTGATGATGTGTTTGTGAGGACCGGATTCCGTAATTGGAAGAAAGCTCCTGAAAAATTTAGAGATTTGCCTAAGTTGCAGAAGTAAATCAAGTAGTATGTAATGAACTATAATTTTTTGTTAAATTATTACGCTATTGTTGTTCTTATTATATTTTGAACACGAACTTTAAAAGTTTTAGTCTTTGGTTTGCCCCTCCTTGGACAAACCTCTGACTCCGCCACTGGACGGAGGTAGTACTTTTTTTAAGAAATAATGGACTATTTGAGTGTCAAGGGACAAATATATGACGAATGTACCTCATTTTTACCCATGTGTTAATTCTTTGTTGCTACTTTGTTGCTACTTTGTAGTTTGGGAAGCACGTGACTCATCCATCTCCCGTCGTCTCTCTCGTCTCTCTGCTTCTCTAAAGCTTAGACTGCACCAACCGCTAACGGCTAACGATTAATCATCCGAAGAAGCTCAAACTCCACCGGCTGCAGCTATATGCTTCTCCGATTTTGGGACTTATATCCATCAGTCATAGACCACCGTACCCTTGAATCTTCTGTCTTCCATTTATATCTTTGCAACCTCCTCTCTCATTCTGAACTCAAATTCAAGAAATTAAGAGTACTTCTTCCTTCATCTTTCTCCTTTCTCAAACCCACTCTCGTTCATCAAATTCTTCCGGGTTCTTAATTTGCAGAGATTTTCAAGCCCAAGAAGAGAAACACCAAAGTCGTTACTACATCGCGTCGACTCTTTCTCTGCCAGAAACGGTCGGTTCTTGGGTCGAATTTGTTTTCTGAAATACCATGCTTCTTCATAGTCTCACCGCCGCCGGTGAAAAAAGGTTGCTTTTGCTGTTCCCCAAATCAAAGAAGGGAGATGAAGAGTGAGAATGAGAAGAGGTATCAATTGTAAGAAATTTACTAATAATTTGGAGAACAGGGACGGGGTTGCTTTCGGATCTGATAAAAAGTTGAGGGAAGAGGACTGGAGAAATCTGAAGCGGATGGGAAGATTTGAACAAAGATGAAGTTTTCAACTTTGTGGCAACTCCCTTAAGATGCAAACCAGATGTATCTTTACAGAAAATCGTCGAGACGGAGTTCGGCGGTGGGAATTCCGGCATGCTTCTCCAGTTCTCCTTCGCCCTTAATCTCCGGCTTGAGGCACCATCTCTCTTTCTTCTTGCTCAATCTCCTCATTATTGCTACAGGTCCGTCATCTCGCGGATACTAAAATCTAAAATGGTGAGCTCCACATATGAAAACATGGTGGGACAAGAACAAAGAAACGGAACAAGAAAGCCGCAGGTAGGCCCGCAGGAAGAGAAAAGAAAAAAGGAAAAAAGAAAAAGAAAAAGTAAAGACAAATAGAATTAAAAAAAGGTCAAAAAGCAGCGGCGGCATTGTTGACGGCATCGGTGAAGTCGGAAAACGCAGATGAGTACGTCGGGAAGGAGTGCAGCGGTGTTTCATGGCGTCGACGGCTCTATCTCACGGCGTCGAAAGCTGCTCAAATCAAATCTTGCATCTGAAGCCTGTGGAACGGAGATATGATGTGAAGGCCAGGCTGGAGCTTGTGTGGAGCAGTACGTAGTGGACCTTTGATTGTTTAATCACTTCTTTGTATTTTTACCCACCTCTAATCGTGGTGGGGCCATAAATGGGGCAACTCATTTAAGTGGTGTCCCACTTAAATGAGTTGCCTCATTTATGACCACACAATAGGGATGGGTAAAAATGAGGTACAACTTTGGGGTACCTTTAGCATAGCTCGTACCACAAACCCTACCCCACTTGTACCCCATATAAAAACTCATCCCTACTTTTCTTCTCCCCCTTCCTCTCTCCTGCACCCCACCTCTCTTCCTCCCTCCTCTCTCCATCTCAAAATCTTTCCCATTTTTCCACCTTCCAACCTTAAATCTTCTCCTGCTTATCTCCACTTCCACCGGTGACGTTGTCGACAACGGGTCTACGCCGGTTGTCGACGACGGGCCTACGTTGGTTGCTATTTCGGATGCAACCTCAAGGGAAGACAACGACGAAGGCAAATCAAGAAGCTTTGAATAACTTGAGCGGCAAATCTTCTTTTCTTGATTTTGTTTTCTTCATTTTTGATGTATTTTCGAAATATAAAGGGTTGTATGTCAGACAGACAACTTGTAAGTGCAATGTCTGTAAGAGTCATGAAATTGTCTGTCATTTGAAAAATAAATGTCTGTAATTGATATTTAATTGTTTGTCATTTGTTTGTTAGTTGTCTGTAATTGTTTTGAGTTGTGAAGTTGTCTGTAACTCATACTTAGTTGTTTGTCATTTCATTGTGAGTTGTATGTAATTTGTGGTGAAAATAATGTATGTCTCGTTACCTCTATTGTCTGTCTAGTTATACGTATTGTCTGTCTTCTTTATGAAACATATTCCAAAATGGTAATTCATAATAAAGTAATGTCTGTATGTGTATACTTATTGTCTGGATGTGTATATTTAATGTCTGCCTCGCTATACTAATTACATCTCAAAAAATAATCATCACAAAATACAGACAACTCACAACCAAATACAGACAACTCAAAACAAATACAGTTAATTAACCATCAATTACAGACATACAGGCAACTTCATGACTCTTACAGAATTCTCACAACAACATGACAGACAACTCGAAACAAATACAGACAACTCAAAACAAATACAGACAACTAACGATCAAATGACATACAACTTCACGAGTCTTACTAACAAATACAGACACTACACTTACAGTTGTATGTCAGAGAGACAACCCTTTTTTCGAAAACACACCAAAAAATCAAGAAAAAAATCAAGAAAAGTAGATCTTCTCAAGTCATTCAAAGCTTCTTGGTCTGCACTTTCGTCGTTGTCTCCCCATGTCAAGCTATCCAACGTCACCTAGCTCTCCCCTTCGTCCGATCTACTGTAGCTCTTGCATTTGGAATGAAAAAAAAAGGCAGAAGAGGCGAGAAGCAAGAGAAGAATCTTGGAGGGAGAAAAGATTGTAAAAATGGGAAAACTTGATGGAGAGAGATGTTGAAATGGAGAGGAAATCAAGATTTGGAGAAAAGAGAAAGAAAGGGGAGAGGATGGGGGAGGGGGGCTGCGTAAAAAGAAAAGAGGGAGGAGAGAGGGAGGGAAGGAGAAGAAAAGTGGGGGAGGGGGAGAAGAAAAGTGGGGGAGGGGAGAGGGTTTTTATATCGGGTAGGAAATGGGATAAATTTGGGGTACCTATAGTAAAATTGACAAAAAATACATGTTGACAACCATGTCAACGAGTACCTGGACTAACCGGTAGTTAACCGGCTAAAAAGCTGGAGTGACTGTTTTTTAATAGTTGGAGGGTTTGATTGAGTGTTTTGATAGTACGAGGATTTAATTGCCGTTTTCACTATAGTAGGAGGGCTTATTTGACAGTTTTCCCTTATATTTTTTATGGCCTTTTTTAATAAATATTACTAAATTAAATAAGAAAGATGAAAATATGATTTGTTTTTAAATTTTCCAAAAAAGTGATTCATGATGCATTTAATGCCTTTTATTGTAAGTTGTTCAGGCAAACACTGCCGACATCCCCGCCACCTACACCTTCGCCGCCGTCGCAAATGTCGCCGCCATCCAGTGACTTCGTTGCAGCGTAGTCTAGTGACTTCATCACCCATGTGGTCCAGTGACTACTCCAATCTAGTGACTCCATCCCCTCATCCAGTGACTCCATCACCCTATGTGGTCCAGTAACTACTCCACCCATTGACTAACGCCAGAACCCGCCCAGTGACTACATCCCCTCATCCAGTTACTCAAAAGCCGTAGAGTGATGGTTGGTCAGTTACACATCCCCAGAGACTAACGCCCAATGACTGCTGAGACCGCCACCGCCTCGATCATTGATCAACAACCACTACCATCATCCATGCCCCAACACTGTGTTGGCCCTCTGCAAATGCACAGAGACTCGCACCAACATCTCAGCGCTCCCCAACACATTCGCCCCAACACGATGATGATGATGATGATGCGCTTGAGAGATGAAGTGGTGGTAGCCGATGGGTGAATGATGAACCTGCGGCGGCGGACGGTGAGAGATCAAGCAGCGACAGACGGTGAGATCAAGCAGTGGCGGGCAGTGAGATCTGAGGTGGTGGGTGGATGTTGAGGAACGGCGGCAGACCTATGGTGAGAGAATAGATGATGATGCGATCAAGAATATTGATTGATTAAAATATGGTTTTAGGATTTTATTTAGATATCATTTAATCTAAGTCACTTTTATGGAAAAAGTAAAAGGTGTCATATTTTTGGAAATGAAAACACTGGGAGTAATATTCCTGCCATTTTTTCTATTTAAATTTGGCACTTCTCTCGATATAAGCATTTCTTATTACATCAACAACCCGTAACTCCATTTTTCGGCTTATCGGTCTTATCTATCATTTTTTCACCAAATATGTAACTTTTGATTTCGCGCGTTGAATTGTGCAATAAGCAAAATAAATAAGGTTGAAGTTATTTTTTCGACTGAATTGGCTGAAATTATTGTAGAAGACCATTTTAGCTATTTTTCATTTTTTCTTTATTTTATTAATAAAATATGTTTTAAATATAATTTTTTTCATAAATATGTGGTATCAACCAATCCAGCTGCTAGTTTCAGCCGATTATCAAATGGATCAAGAAAACAATGTTTATTGTATACCAAACATTAAGAAACAACAATAATACAATACACAGATGAGAAAACAACTAGAAATGTTGCCATACACAAGAGGATGGGAATGATATTGAGAAGCAAAAACAAAAGTTCAAGGAAATACTCATCACCCATGCCAAATAGCATAGCCAGCCGTAGGGATGTAAGAACCCAGAGCAACAACGACCGAAATCACCAAGACTCGCACGGCATGGCCGGAAGATTGGCTCCCACAGGACAGCTTCCCCAGCCGGATCTCAATCACATTGACCATGGACAGGATCAAGAAAATGCAGCCCAAAACGGTCCCAAGAGCAGAACCCGTCATCCCACACTTCAACACTATGGTATTCACATGGACCTTAGCGGCCTCGTCCGCGTCTTTGCTGTTTATCACATTGATAGTCAGCTTCAGGCCCTGGGCCAGCAGCGAAGAGAAGAGGAAGAAGCTGAAGGAGACGACCTCGTACACCAGCAGCTTCTTCACCACATCGGTCCCGGCGTCGCACCTCGGGCTCTCCTCCAGGCTTTTCTGGCCCGGGGTGGCGATAGACAGCCCCATGAAGACGGCCACGGAGAAGAGCGAGTTCACATTCACCAGCCCGTCAAGCGCCGTCACGTGGACGCTGGTGGTGCTGCCTTTATCCTCCCACGAAGACATTGATATTCTGCTCTAGTCAAGAGAATGGTGATATTTGCTAGTTTTTTCCCTCCCTTGGTATTTTCTGAATGCGGGAAAGGGGGGCTTTTATCCATCAAGCTATGGGTTCATGATAGCTTTTGAAGAAAAGGGGATAAAGGGGTGTGGAAATTTGGAAAATATGAAGCTTTTTTGCTCTGTTTTTTGGACTTGAAAAAAGTGTTTTCTTGGAATGGCAGTTTCATACCGGAGACTCGCTGATATCATGATTCATGACACACAGCAATGCACACGAAACTACACAAGGGAGATCAAGTGGAAGACTAATAATCTAATACGGAGTATCATCTAGTGATGGACAGTTCCCCCTCTGCCCAGCCCGGGAACCGGACCGCCCCGCCACTCTGCGGGACCGGTCTGACCCGGTTGCCCGAGATCGGGCCTAGGACCCGACCCGGGAGTGTTTTGGGGGCGGGCTCGGGCTGCAGGTTTCTTTGGAACCGGCCCGGCCGGTCCGGTCAATTTTTTTCTTCTCAAAGTCTCTGGATGGTAGGCGTAGGGGTGGGCAAGAATACCGGAAAATCGGTATACCGCACTTACTGTACCGAAAAATACCGGAAAATAATGGAATATTGGTATACCGTCATTTTTGGTACAGTATGATACCGTACCGATATATTTCGGTACGATAACGGTAAATGTTTTCAAATACCGCGGTATACCGGTATAATACCGTACCGACTCCCACCCAGCGATTACTATAAATTCTAAAATATTGTAAAAATCCATTACAAGTTTGAAGCCCAAAATTAATACTTATGTTGGTTACAAATACTAAAATACAAAAATAAAGACCCGATTTCCCAAACCCACTATAACCTTCTAGGCTTCTACTACGCAACATTCAAACAAACAAACCCTAATGACTAATGAGTAATGTACTAATGTCTGGACCAGTCCATCTTGTTCCATAAGCTTGCGAGTCGCGATGACTGAGCCGCTGAGTAGCTGACGAGTGAAAAGGGATACACTTATGTGACGAGTGTATTGACATAGAGATTCCGCAAGTCGAGGCACATAACTGTCCGAAAGTCTTATTCAAATATTTTATTTAAAATTATAAAAAAGACTAAATACACAATATCATATTATGGATAAATGATTTTATATCCACGTTGTTTGAATAAAGTTATTTATTTTTGTTAGTGATCACTATTCATTTGATTATATCTATATTGCTCAAGTTATTTAAATATGCTGAACTGCTTAAATATACTAATAATAATAATTGTTCAATATTGAATATGACACCAATAGATTATTAATTGTATTTTGTAACATTTTAATAATGGATTAAATATGTCGTTAGTACACCGATTTACTATATTTTGTTAGTCTATGATAATTTTTTGAATTGGGGGACATGCATGGTAATTTACCGATATTGTACCGTTACCGAACCGAAACTTCGGTATACCGAAAGGCTATAAATGTCCACTTGTGTGCTATCAGTTCCTGTCTTGTGCTTGTAGGATGTTCTATTCCAGGCAATGCCAAAGGTTGTCCATCTAGGAGACAAAAAGATTAACCATCAAGCAATAATACCACCAAACTTCAGATTATATTACAAATATACACATCATATGTAAGTGTAGGACTTCTAATGCACAAAGTGATGTCTTGGTCTCTAGGATTGGCTGTTCGTACCGAGACTGTTATCATCGGTCAGACATTAGATAGTGTCATTAGATACATATAGAGAGACGCACGAAAAAAACTAAGTAAGGGGGACTTTCAACCTGTCTAACAAACAATGCAACCCGTTAAATGTGAGGGGTAAAACACACATTTGATACACAAAGATCTCAACTCTAAAAAATCACAAAGCAAATTATCAAAGGTTGAACATCCAAGGTCCAAACATAGGACTTGGATAACTTCCACAGCATTGATCTACACATTAACTTGTGCCCAATTTTCTTCGTTGATCTAAGATAGTGCTTCCCGAAGTCCAAGTGCCTCTGCTTCTTGTGCCTCCACACGTGATACGACCACATATGACAGTTCTCTTCCAGCCACAAAGGCACTATAGCTACATTCGAACACATCCAACCCCGTCAAAATCAACTTGTCACCCTTTCGGATAGTTGTATCCACATTTGATTCAACTCTTCCCCATTGTGATTATAGACATAGGTAACACCCAACAATCTCAAAGTTATCACCCTTCAGCTTTTCTGTGTTGCCCACACCATTATAACATGTGAAGCCTTCCACAAATTCTAGCGTCTCATAATGATTTTGCTCGAAATATCATTCTCTTGTGCTTCAACCAAGTCCTAACTCACTCACCCCATAAAATCTAGCACCCTTCCATCTAATTGTCACGCCCATTTGAACTTTTCCATTTTTATGGGAACATTTTCGTTTTTATTTCTTTGACTTTCTTATAGTGACATTTTTAGTCATTTCGTTATGATTTCATTGTAATGGGCGGAGGATCAAAAGTCACTATGATAATAGTTGAAAGAGAGAAAATTGCACTTTTGCGGTTTTGCCAGATAAGTAAAAGTGATTTTTTTTAATTGAGTACCAAAAGTGTGTACGGCACAATAGTCAAAGAACAAAAGGTGAAAACGTTAAAAGATGAATATCGAAGGTGCCACTAGCACAGTAGATAGAGAACCAAAAGTGAAAAAATTTCAAAATAACTAATGTGTATGTATTGACATGCTGCTTAGCTAGAGGCTAGAGTATGAGAATCACTACTCCCAAACATTCCAAAGGGAAGTTTGAGACCAAAAACTGTTGCAATAAAGGAGAACCAAGAGACCATATATCTATGAACAGCCACTCCACCAAGTGCCAATGTAGATGTGTCCCTAGTAAAAAGAAGCTTCATCCACTCACTGGTCCCACATGGATGTAGTGTGAACCAAGGCTGATTCAGGTATGGGTGCTCCTACAGGTATGTGATGTAGGATAAATGCTTGGTTAAAACTATAGGATGTAAATACAATTGGAGGTACATAACTGAACTCTAGTAACCTCTTGTGTTATAAAGGTCCATTTGTGTACTGTCAGTTCCTGCCTTGTGCTTTCAGGGATGTTCTTTTCCAGCTCTTGCAATGCCAAAGGTTGTCCATCTGGGAGATAAAAACAACTAGCATGAAAATTATACAACAATTCATTTCTAGTTCACATAATATGTCTGGCAGGGAATTGGGTCTGCTTAATTTCGACTTTGTCTATTACATCAGTGTAGCAGTTTAACTGTTCATATTTTTCTGCTCATTAGTATCAACTAGTAACTTCAACCATTGCATTGAAGATAGTCGGTAGAAAGTTAATCTGCGGCTTATGATTTATTTATATTATGGTCAGGATTAATTTATCATTAAAAAATTTAAAAGTGGAGCCTATCTTCAGTGTGAAATTGAATTATTGTACGCTAATGTGCAAAACAAACTGGACTGTTGATTTAGCTTTTGGCCAAAATCTTGACAGAAATATGGTCAGGCACATTTAACTTGATCTTTCCGGAAACAGTCTCTTTGTGCTTTAGTACAAGGGTAAGACTGCGTACATCCAACCCCTCCTTACTCCACCGTTGGTGGGAGCCTTTGTGGCACTGGGGTAAGGATGATGATGATGACATTTAACTTGATCTTTCCTCTTAGAAGTTAGAATATATATTGTCTCATTTTTAGATATGGACTTCTTTCTACAAAATACATGATTATACTCATTCAAAGGATTCTGCCACAATTTCAGCCTAATTTTACACTTGTTTTTTAAGCACTCAGAAAGGGTTTAGTAAGAGGGATGGAATACTTGCATACAATCCATCAAACCTAATGACCTGTTTGAGGCCTAAATGTGTAGAATTGGACATACCACTCCAATATGCACGGAAGTATAGCACAGGAACCCTATAAGATAAGCTGTATACAATGTGGAAGTCGTAGCGGCACCTTTCACATCTCTGAGGTTGAACCTTTAAAGAGAAACAAAAGGGTGAGACACCTTCATAGAAAGATGAATATGAAAGATCATTAATTTCACATAATATGTCCAAAGAAATTAAGAATCTGAAGCACCAACACAAACAAAATCTACAAACCAATGCAGCACTATCAATAATGTCATCTTCCTCCAAGCAACCTGTCTCTTTTATTATACCATCGTCATATTCATGATTATCTTCCTGAAGAGAATGAGAAGACAGTAATGAGATTAAGGGATTGTTTGGTCAGGGGTTTGAGAGAAGAAGAATTATTTCCATTTTATTAAATTACCTCTACGTTTTCGCCTTAGACTAGAAAATAACTACTACACCTCAGTTCCCAAAAAGAGTCACATTCCAACCAGGGTAAAAGTTTTATTTTCAAAGGTATAACTATTAGACATCATTAATTATAGCTATGTTCTAAAATTTGAGTGTTTGTTTAACAACAAAACACTCTAAAGTCTAAACCTGTTTTTTGGCACTTCTCCTTTTTCAAAAAAATAGCTTTTTTTGTTCAAAAAGGATTCATTTTTGAAAGAAAAATATAGCTTCAAAGAGGACTCTCTTTTTTGGAACTGAAAAATTACATGTGTAGTTAAATCCTATGCATAACTTTTCATCTTGGCTTTCTTTTCAACTATCAAAGTCTAAGAATAAATTAAAAAAATAAATATCACCCCTCCCCTTCTCTCTTGTCCAAAATCCTTCAACCAAACAAGGAATAATGAATTTCTCTATACGAAGTATCAACTATCAAGCACATACCATAGTAGACGCAGGAGGTGGAACTACACCATCCACGCAGAGATAACCGTCTACCTAAATAAATAAATACATAAATAAATAAATAAAAACAGAAACTAAGAATTTTATTAAATAAAATACATCTTTGATACTTTGATAGCGTTCACCAAAAAAAGCAAGCAAACTATGGGTGTAGGGCAATACTCCAGTGGAAGGAGCCCCAAGAAGCTTTGGACATCTGCACCATGACCATTGAGGAAAAGCAGAGTTAAACTTCTTCCATTGCTCACTAAATGCACAAGCAGCAACGTAGAACTCTCTAGATGAAATGCTCCCATCCCACGACCCTTTATCAATTATACTCCTTTCTGATGACATTACAGTCTGAACAGAGACTCAGATAGCCAATTTAGCACACTGTATGTGTTGAAATTCAAATACAACATCAACAGTGATAACAACCTTTTTGAAAATTGACTCAATTATGAATTATTGACTTCAATTGTTCTTTTCCAGAAAGCAAAGGCACCATAAAAGAAAAGAATCTAACGCTTAAAGCCTTAAATACTGTCACAACTCACAAAGACGAACTGACTAGCAAAGAATTCTTCTCTAAGTGTGAAAACGATCCAATATGCTGCATAAAAGTGAAGGGCATAAATGTACATGTTCCCTAAATCTTATCAAACTCCATTTCCTCTGAGAAATACAATCATAATCTTTTGTAATTAATCGCTCCTATGTATAGGAACAGATAACTTACAGGAGTCTAATCTGTTAGGGTTGCATAAAGACAGTTGGGAGCTAATTCTAGTGTCGTTAAATGAGCTGCTTCATAATTCGTTGTACCTAATAATTGTCTACTTCTTCCTTGAACTAGTTGTGATTCCTTGAGTTGAAGAAAGATGATCTCAGATAAACCGCAGAAGTTTTGTAATGATTGGTTGAACAAAATGTTGTTCTTATCATCCTTATTAAGAAAACATATTTTGTCCGAATAGCATTTTTACAAACAAAAAGTTGCCCTCATAGACGCGCGTAAACACGTGTAAACCATAGAAAACCGCAGGCTTTGTATTGGGCAAATTATACCGTGCAATTAAGTTTAGTTTAGTCACATCAAATTTCAGTTAAAAATTCAATCGAGAAGACAGTCAAATGATTTTTTGAAGTATATTACGTTGTCTAATTACGCAGTTATCTTCAAAAATTCATTTGACTGTTTTCCCGATTGAATTTTTAGCTGAAATTTGGTATGAGTAATTATACTTAATGAAGAAGATGTTCAAAAAAATTCAACAAAATATTCCACCGGAAACCGTCCCAAATGGCGACGACCGAACAGAGCCTTCCATAAAAGGGCTTATTTGGCACAATGTTTGTCTCCATACATGTTTCTAACTTCTGTAAATTATACCTAGTATTATTCCACTATTATCCTCGGTTCAAATATATTTAATATACAAATAGAAGTCTTCTCCCAATTCCAGTCCATTTCTCTAACTAGTTTTTATATTGAAATTATTATTTGTATTACTCAAATATACTTAATTTGTAGGCGTGTTTAACGTTTAGCGATTAGCAATTAGCGGACTATGTTAGCGAATTATTAATAGCGAATTTGACTAGCGAAATAAATCAATGGGTTCCATAAAGATGTTTGATAATTTAGCTATTTGGTCGTATCAATTAGAAAGAAATATCATATTTCAAAATGTTAATCCAAAATATTGTTATTGCAGTGTTTCCATTTCAGCGGTGCTTCTTGCTCATCATAGGCTATTTGTTTACTAGGTTGTTAAAGAATTGTTGTACAAATTCTATGTCTAGTCTTAGAACTGTTGACCATGTCATAGATGTTTGTCTCATTGATTGTTTGTGTATTTTTGTTTGTCTCATTGATTGTTTGTGTATTTTTGAATTCTGAGATATTAATATAAACCTATGTTCTTAAAAAAGATAGCATTTCTTAAAATGATAGTCTCATCGCATAATTCGCGACTTCATAGATGTAAAGGTGAACTTCTCCTCGAGAGTATTGCAATTCGAATTGTTAAAATTAAAATTATATAAACAGATGGAGGTGAGTGAACCCTAACAACGATAACCAGGGGCGCCCGTTTTCATATCAATCCGCGAAAGAGGGGCATCAATCGGTGTCGTTCTGTTTCATTCTTGCTCTTAGTCAAGGTTTACTCTCTCCGGTAACAGGATCTTCCTCTTCATTTATGTACTCGTCTCTGGTCCGGCGCTTCTGTTTTGCTGAGGTTCTTCTACGTTCTTTGTGAACGAATTTGTGTTGATTATTGGTTTATGTTGTCGAAGAGTGGATGCTGTTTTTTTTTTGCATTTTGACAGAGGTTTGAGAGCTGTTTGTTAGGATTTTTGGATCATTTTTTTATCATTGTGTAGAGGTCGCTGCTACTTTTCTTTATTTCATTATGGTTTTTGAGATCCTCGTGATTGTTTGTGTTTGGTGTGCACTATGGATATGCTTATTGTGACTTACAATAAAGTCTTCATTGATGAGAAAGAAAAGAGGGGTTTAGTTCTGAAACAGACATGATTGGGGTGATGCAAAATTGAAGGATGGGGGGTCTGTTTCTCGGTTATGGCAAGGGTTGTTACGGATAAACCTGTGTTCAATTTCCTTTTGTGAAACTATGGCCATGATCTGGAGACCAGATCAAGGAGTCACTATTGAAGAGATTGATGCTTCTAAATTTCTCCTCTAGTTCTACCATGAAGCAGACATCGGTCGAGTTGTCGAGGAGGGGCCTTGGTTTTATGATCAAAACTTAGTAGTGATAAGGTGATTAGGAGGTATTGATAGGTCTCTTCAAGTGCCCTTGAACCATGCAGACTTCTGGGTTTAGGTTCACAATTTTCTCATAGGGTACATGACTATTAAAGCAGCTCGTGGGATTGGAAATAGCATAGGGAGTTTTGTCCAAGCTCATGAATGCACTCTTGGGGGGAAACAGAGACTGGTCCTGCACATAAGAGTTACACTTAATATATATATATATATATATATATATATATATATAGGGGAGAGTTCAAATACAAAAAGGTCTTCCCATGCAAAGTGAGAATCTCGTGCGTTCATTTTGAGATCTAATGGCTCAAAATGAGCCAAAAGTGAAATAAATTTGATCAAAAACGTGGTGGCAATTTCGTAATTAAAACGAAATTTTTTACCATCGCGAAAAAGTGCAACAGAAACACGCAAAAGTGCAACGCGGTGAAGAAAAAGTGCAATTGTTCGCACTTTGCCTTAGGGGCGGATCCACTAAGGCCCAGGGGGGCAGTTGCCCCCAATAAAGGCCCATTAAACCCTTTTAATTTTTTAAAAAATATTAAAAGCCCAGCTGTTTGCCCCCAATTAAAAAAATGGCCTGCCCCCAATAACCCAAAATCTTCCAGCCCGTTCCAAGAAAAGGGCCTAAAGGGGTTAGTCCGCAGATCGGCAGATGCCAAGCCCCTTAGCCCCGTCCCCCGACTCTCTTGCGCAGACTGCGGAGCCGCTACCGCTCAGCCGCAGACGCAGAAGCCAGAAGGCCAAAACCTCCTTGCTGACTTGCTCCGACCGGCGACCACCGACCTGAAGAACTCGGCCGCAGAGGCGCAGAACCACTGAACCAGAAGGTCCAGAACGGGCGCGGCAGAAGCCATTTAGCCAACTCCAAGCCGGAAATCAAAAATAGGTAAGCCTTTTCACTTTAATTTGTCATATTTTATCAATTACGGTGTGTTGATTACTTGATTTGGAGTGTTGATTACTTTCCTATTGTGTATTTGTGTAGTTAATATTTAGTAATTATATACATATTAGTATATTTAACTAATTAATAATTATAGTGTTTTAAATTTATTCACATCATAGATTAAATATTTTAGAAGGTTCAATTAGATTTAATATAGCTGATGAGCTACTGAAATTGTTAATTAATTCAATTTTAGAATGTTTTATACTATTAGAAAGTAGAAACCCTAAATGTAAAATATATATTATTTTAGGTAGTTAAATGAAATGTATTAATGTATTAAAACAGTTAATTTTAGTTTAACTTCTTTTCCAGACTCAAATACTCAATGAAGAGATATTGGGCTACCGTTCCTTCACCGGGTAGTTCAAATAATAATGCTTCAAATATTGCATCTCAATGTTCTTCATCAATACCTAAACAAGTTGATTTGCATGAGCTTCCCTCAGATCCCGCAAAAAGAAGAAAAATTTCTGAGTACTATCCTAATCAAATAGATGAAATCAGGAGAAAATATTTGATTAAAGGACCCTGTCAACCACGTGGTCATGACTTCCCACAAAAAGAGATTGGGAAGACTTTAAGACGCTTCAACTCTAAATGGTTTGATCAATATCCTAATTGGTTAGAATATAGTATACAAGATGACAAAGCCTTTTGTTTGCCTTGTTACTTGTTTAGAGATCACTTTGAGAATCGTGCTGGGAATGATGCATTTGTAACTGAAGGGTTCTCAAGTTGGAATAAAACGGAGCGATTAGCTTCTCATGTGGGTAATATAAATAGTTTCCACAATAAGGCACTTAAAAATGTGATGATTTAATGAACCAAGACCAGTCAAATGTTGTTGCTTTGCATAGACAAAGTGAAATTGTGAAGAATGAATATCGTATTCGTTTGAATGCTTCTATTGATGTTTCAAGATTTTTATTGCATCAAGGACTGCCTTATCGTGGTCATGATGAATCTGAAGAGTCCAACAATAGAGGCAATTTTCTGGAACTAGTAAAATATACTGCTAGTCAAAATGATGTTGTGAGTAAGGTTGTATTGAAAAATGCTCCAGGAAATAATCAAGTTGTTGCTCCTAGCATTCAAAAAGACATTGCTAATTGTTTTGCACAGGAAGTTGTTCACTCTGTGCTTAAGGAGATAGGTGATGATGTGTTTAGTTTGTTGGTTGATGAGTCTAGTGATGTGTCTTACAAAGAGCAATTGGCTATGGTGTTGAGGTACGTTGATCGGTGTGGCATAGTTAAAGAAAGATTTATTGGTGTTGTTCATGTGAAGGATACATCTTCTTTGTCTCTTAAATCTGCTATTGATTCTGTATTTTCTGAATATGGCCTGAGTTTGAAAAATGTTAGAGGCCAAGGGTACGACGGTGCAAGCAATATGCAAGGTGAGTTCAATGGGTTGAGAGCTTTAATCATGAAAGAAAGTAGCTCGGCGTACTATATCCATTGTTTTGCTCATCAACTACAATTAGTTGTTGTGGCGGTCTCGAAGAAACACTTTGATGTTGGTGATTTTTTTGAAATGATATCTCTTTTATTAAATGTGGTTGGAGCGTCTTGCAAAAGGAGAGATATGATTCGAGAAAGTCATCAAGAAAAAGTTAAAGAAGCTATAAGTAATGGTGAAATTAGCACCGGAACAGGATTAAATCAGGAGCTTGCCCTTCAAAGACCGGGAAATACACGTTGGGGTTCCCATTATAGAACACTTCTCAATTTGATTGAACTGTTTCCATCAGTTGTTCAAGTCCTTGAGTACATTGAAGTGGAGGGCGTAGACAGTGTGAAAAGACGCCAGGCTAATGGTCTTCTAACATATTTTCAATCATTTAAATTTGTGTTTTATTTGCAGTTGATGTTGCTTATCTTGGGACTCACAAATTCTTTGTCAGTGGCTCTTCAAAAGAAAGATCAAGACATATTGAATGTTGTTTCACTTGTGAAAACAACAAAGCAACAATTGCTTAAGGTAAGAGCTGATGGATGGGATTCACATTTGAGGAAGATCTTAGAATTTTGTGAGAAGCATGAAATTTCTGTGCTTAATATGGATGAGGACTTTGTTAACCCAAGGAGGCCACGTCAAAGAACTAATTGTTGGAAAAATGTGTTAAAAATTGCATTAAATGGTCATTTTGGGGCAATTATTTGAGTGGGGTCCACTTCCGATTTGGGTCGGGTCAAAGTGGTTTCGGATTGTCCTTGTTAAGGGCTAAAATTCGATACATGGTACGCTCAAAACGGATAACGGGTG